TCATTAATGAATCAACAATGTGTCATTAGTGAATCAACTATGAATTAACAATGAATCAATAATGAATTATAAATAAATCAACTATTGTGACGGGAAAGTCATTCTGACGTTATTTCAAGCCATATATTGATCAAATATCTTTTTAATAAGGGTAAGGGTTGTAAGGTCAATAGTTCGCCCCTGCGACCTTACATCGATTGAAGCGCCAATAATTCGATCAATTGACGCATTACCAAATTTTCAAAAAGAGCACGTTACTCTTTGTTCGACCGTTGTTGTATGTAACTGCTTAGTGTGATCTCAAAATTGATATTGTAACTTTTGTTTGAGTGGTTCGATGTGACTTGTAAAATCTTGATTTGAGAGAGAAAGATCGACAAGAGTCGATATTTGATCAACAATACGTAAGTGGTTAATGTTCTTTTGATTTATTTAATAAATTTGTTTTATTCCTGGAAGTCGCTTGATCTTTATTTTATATTATTTTGTTAGGGTTCCCCAACGCTACCCTCCTTGTGATCTCGTGTCTAATTTATTTATCTGTGTTTTGTTAATTTCATAAAAATTAACTGGCGTCCGCGTATTTATTAATATTTTCTTCTCGCCAAATAGAGCTCCAGCAACTCTGAACCCGGTCGCGCTGGATGTGAATAGAATTTGTTTAATTTATTTTTGATCAGATTTATCTTACTCTTTTATTTTACTTAATTTAATATATTTTTATTCTTAAATTTCAATATAAAAATTCTATTCGTCTCACTATCAATCATTAATTTATTAACAATGAGACATTAATGAATCATCAATGGATCATAAATAAATCAAGTATGAATCATTAAGGAATCAACAATGAATTAACAATGAGTCATTAATGAACCAATAATGAACTGAAATATTTGTCAATTGGTTAGGAAGCGTTCCCAAATGATGTCATGTAGTTTTTTTTTAGATTCACCCCCCCCTTCACCTCTACTACAATTTCGCGCAATTTTAGATGAGAAAAATATATTATTTTTCGTTTAGTAGAGACCCACTTATTAGTTTGAACTGTATTAATAGTGGATACGTTCATACGATTAAGTAACATAAAAACATCATTTTACCCTTTTTGAAATGAAAAGTCTTTCAACGTATATTCGTCCATGATCTGGTGTATCTGAGGGAAGTTTAGCTCAGATTCTGCATTGCGCATGTTTCAGATTCTGTACCTAACCTTCCGCGCAACATTGGTCCCACGGTTTTAAAGACTTCTCGTTCTGGTGTACAGAATTACAGAAACCAAACTTTTAACACATATACTAAAGTTTTAGCACAGATGCTGTTCTATTTTATCTCAGCATCTGAATAAAATCAGGGAACAATATCTAACCCTCATTTCGCGCGGCTGCTGTATCTGAGTTCAGATGCTGTGCTAAACTTCTCTCAGTGTAATTTTGACTATTAATTTTTCTCTGTGTATTTATATAGACAAGACAAATCATTAACTAATAAATTATTATTATTCAAAAAATTAATAAGAAATTAATCAATAATGAATCTTTAAAGAATTATTTAACCGTAAACCATTAATGAATCAATAATAAATCATTAATTAATCACCGATGAATCATTAACGAATCAACAATGAGTTATTAATGCATCAACTATGATTTAACAATGAATTAATATCAACTGATAAAAAACTACTTACATTTAATTGTAATGTATATTTTATAATGATTATATAATAAGGAAGCTCTTAAAGTAAAATATCCTGATATGCACATGTCTTGTAGAACAAAATTTTCAAGACTTGTTAAAATAAAATATTTGTAAATTTTAGTGGACCCATCTATTAGGTTGACCTTAAACTATGTAGAAAAATATAGTAGAGAGCAATGCCCGCGAAATTAACAATTTTAAATATACGCGCCATAACCGACTGCAGCGCTAGTGGCGGCCTCGCGAACTAATTTCAAAAACGCGCGCCATTCACCGACTGCAGCGCTATAGTGGCGCCTCTAGCGGCAGCCTTGAGAACTATCGCGTAGAACTCACATTGTCTAACTACTAACGTAATATTGTTCTGAAGTCAGATTCGTAATTAACATCCTCAAAAACCGCCGAATGACCATTTTGAAGCAAATACAATTATTTTTTAAAAAATTGTCCGCCATATTGGATCCACCATTTTTAATTTTAAAAAAGGGACATCAGATTCGTCATCAGCGACCCCAAAAAAACCCCGAGTAACCATTTTCAAGCCAATCCAATCACTTTTTAAAAAATATGTCCGCCATATTGGATCCGACATTTTGAATTTTAAAAAAGTAACATTAGATTCGTAATCAGTGACCCCAAAAACGCCCGAGTAACCATTTCTAAACAAATTTAATCACTTTATAAAAATTTTTTCGCCATATTGGATCCGCCATTTTGAATTTTTAGAAAGTGATATCAGATTCCTAATCAGCGACTCCAAAAATCCCTGAGTAACTATTTTCAAGCAAATCCAATCACTTTTTAAAAAATATGTCCGCCATATTGGATCCGCCATTTTGAATTTTAAAAAAGTAACATCAGATTCGTAATCAGCGACCCTAAAAACCTCTGAGTAACCATTTTCAAGCAAATCTAATAACTTTTGAAAAACATTACCCAAAAATTTTTTTCGGCCTTTTGCATTTTGGAAAAATGGCCATTTTCATATCCGCCATCTTGAATTTAAAAAAAAGTAATTATGGATTTTTATAGCTGATAGTTCGAGGACGCGATATTTTGTGCTTTGGAGACCATATTCTTTAGTTTTTTATGTCAAAATAATAATTAAAAAAATTTTTTTTCATAAAAAAGTGTGTTTTTTGCAATAAAATTGTTATAAATTTTTTTTAAATAATTATAAACAAATTTTAGCTCATATTCCGAAAGAGCGATAAATTTTACGTCGGAAATGGTATTTCCTAAAATTTTTAACTAATTATTTCATACAAAATAAGAGTCGTGAAATCATGGTACATTTTGCGTCCTGGTGGGCGTTAATGGGTTAAAAAGTATAAAGGTTTAAAAATTGCACTATTTATCAGGTTAAAACTGTTTATTTTCTTTAACCCTTAAACCGCACACTGCCGAATCCATCCTTAAACCGCACACTGGGTGTGCGACACCCAGGGACTTTTAAGTGTGTTTTCCAAGCTGGAATAGGATATTTTCTTTTGGAAAAATTATCTTATATAGCTCAGTACATCTATTTTGAAGGAAAATAGGTTTCATAATAATTTATTTAATTTTAATAATTAAAAAAAATTTTTTTTAAACTACTGAAATTACCTCAAACCGAAAATTAGGTGTCAGCCACTCATAAATTTTTCGCTTTCAACTTCATAAAGTTTTCAAATACGCAAAGATACATGGGAGACAAATATTACTCACGGAACATAAACTTAAGTACAAAATGTACCGTCCAATAGCGACACATGTTTAATTTTTGCAAATATAAACGATATATTGGTGTAAAAAGCAGGAATATGGGTGTCGCACACCCAGGGTGCGGTTTAAGGGTTAAACTGAAGTTGGCTTTTAATTTAAACACTATGATCAGAACTTGATTAACAAGAAGAAACCAATTTCAATTAAAAGAAACTAAACAGTCCTAACCTGATAAATAGTGCAATTTTTAAACCTTTATATCTTTTAAATTGAGGCCTTGGATCCAATAACTCGCCCGACGCTCGGAGGAACGCGCTACTGCCAGTCAGTGAGCAGTGAGCGCCTCTGGGCCACTCACTGCTTACCGACTGGTATTAGCGCGTGCCTTCGAGCGTCGGGCGAGTTATTGGATCCAAGGCCTCAATTAGACCCGGGAACAAAACGAAAATTTCGGTGTGTGTTGATTTTGATGTGATTTAGAAGTTGTGAAAGTGACAAATTTTTTTAATTTTCTTTAACGGAGTTATTAAGTTGTAAAGTACGCAACAATTCATAAATCGCGTACTTTCAACTCAATATTTCTTGTATATTTATAGGAAGAATTAAAATAGTGATAAGAAATCCTGAAAGTTCATCAAAAATACTCTGTATTCGGTGAGTTAAGGGGGAAGTCTACTGTGACATGGGAAAAAACAGGCCGATTTTTGCGGATTTTTTTATAACAAAATACGACTTGGACATTAAATTAAATTAAACCGCCATCTTTATTGTATATTAAAGTATTTGTAAAAAAAATTTTAAGTCGAAATATTTAAAATTGCAGTCGTGGCACTCCTTCAAGCGCAATTCCGTCTTTTCTTAGGTGCACAAACAGTGTACATGAAATCTCACGTCTAGGTGATCTAAAACAAAAAAACAAAATATGGTTGTCATCTACATAGTATTGACTCTCGTCTGACGAAGGATTTTGTCAATAAAGAATTTTGGCGCCGAAAAAAAAATTCTTGAAATTTTGTCAATTTATTTTTTAAACATTTTATTTTATTATTGTTTATAACAATTAAATAAAAAAAGATATCGACAAAATCCTTCGCCAGACGAGAGTCAACACTATGTAGATGACAACCATATTTTGTTTTTTTTGTTTTAGATCACCTAGACGTGAGATTTCATGTACAACTTTTGTGCACCTAAAAAAGGACGGAATTAATTAATTAATTGATAAAAACGTCAAAAGTAGGTTATTTGGCAGACCAATTTTGAAAACATATTTTATGTATTATTTTTATATTTTCACTAGCTCTATTATTAAAAAATAATTAATCAACTAATTTTAAACATGATACACCGTCTCCATTTTACACTCATATTTTAAGAAAAGAACTAAATATTTTAACATAATTTTTTTCATTTCGTTCTCCAGAGATCATACAGATTGATTTCTAAAAGTATAAATTTTTTTAAAATTTAGGCCGCAACGACTTTATTTGAAATATAATGGTCTGACCCTGTACTTTTATTACTTGTTTCTTTTCCATCTTTAAATATTCTCTACACAGTTAAGATATGAAAAAATGATCAGTTTCTTGTTTTAGAGTCGGATCTAATAACGCAAGAAATAGAATTCGATTTTCTTATTTCTTCCGAATTTTTGCGAACACCTCTTATTGAACACATTGGAGAACGAGGCATTTCTACCGAGCAGGTAGTGGAGATTGAATACGTGGAAAGACATCCTCCACCGGAACCTCAAGATTGTTTTATTCACGATGACTGGGTTTCTGCCGTTGCCGTATCTCACAATTGGTTATTATTTCCGTTGTCTTTTTAGAATAATTTATTTTATAACAGTAATCGAAAAGGTTTTCAAATTACGACGGCAATGATTCATTTTAGGATCCTGACCGGATGTTATGATAATACAGTTCATATCTGGACAACAAAGGGGAAACATAATCTTGTCATTCCTGGTCATACTTCTCCAATTAAAGCCGTTGCATGGATTACTGTCAACGATAAAAATGCTTCTTTTGTGAGGTGAAGATTACTTTTAATATTTCATAGTAAGATGTTAATTATTTAGAGTAATAGCAAAAAATTTATATATGAAGTTAGTTAATAGTGAATAAACTTTTTAAAAAAAAACTCTATTTACAAATTTCCCCAGACTCAGATGTCAAGTTATATTGTTTAATTGTATTTTAGTGCTTCGCAGGACCAAACGGCCATAATTTGGGATTGGAATATAACGAGCAATTCTGTCGACTGTGTTCATATCTGTAAGGGCCATGAGAGAGGATTAGAGGCTGTGGGAGTAAATGAAACTGGGGTTTTAATGGCAACCGGATCCTGGGATACAATGCTTAAAATTTGGTCAACAAGTATACATTTAATATAATCATTTATTTTATTATTTCCTGTAAATCTTAACTTTTCTTCTATAAGTCAAATAAGCATTTAAAGAGGTAGTTTTTACGTTGATCACAAAACCAAGCCTTAACAGTTTTCGTCACCTAAAGTTTCAAAGGCAACAAGTTGAAGGAACTGTTTAGAATTGTATTTTTGACAATATTTTATAAATTGAAAATCGTAGTTTTCAAATTATTATAAAAATGTAATTTTCTAATTTAAATTTCGTTCGTTTATTAGACCTTGTTCCCCAATATTGTTGATGTCACCGATTTAATCTACAAATTATTCATTTCTAGCTGCTGGCGATGATGAAGATGAAAATGACCATGATAATAATGATGAAGATGGTAAAATTGCTGCCAAAAGATCGAAAAGAGACCATGGAAAAATAAGGGTAATTTTTTAGTCTAATATTCCGTAGTATTCATTGTAACTATTTTAACTTTTCAAAAATTTGTTTGGTTAGATTCCAAAGAGAACAATGAAGGGGCACAAAGAGGCTCTGAGTGGCGTTGTCTGGACAGATAAACATGAAATTGTTACTTCCTCTTGGGATCACACTTTAAGAATTTGGGATTCAGAGCTCGGAGGAATTAAGCAAGAAATTCCAGGAAGTAAAAGTTTCTTTGACGTCGATTACTCTCACCTTTCTCGAGCTCTTATAACTGCATCTGCTGATAGACACATTCGTTTATTTGATCCCAGATCGAATGGTGAGAGGAAAATTTATGTATTTAATGAATATTTAGTGTCAAAAAATTATCGGTTAAAATGGAAAAAATTGAGACAATTTTATTATCATTTGCTATTTCATTAATTTAGTTTAAATTTCTGTTAAGAGGGATCAATTGTTAAAGCAACTTTCTCTTCTCACACACAATGGGTCCAGTCAGTTCGATGGTCTACGACAGATGAATACTTGTTTTTATCTGGAGCATACGATAACAATGTTAAACTGTGGGATTCAAGAAGGTGAGAAAATAATTATTCAGATACATTTTTTAAACTCTTTAACCTTCTGTCTGCACGGAAAAAATATGGTACTTAAAGCTCATGAAAGACAGTTGACTTTTTACAGGTTACAATAAATTATTTCCTTCATTTTTTATTGTTTTTGAATTTGAATAAATTACATTAACCCATTAATGCCCAAAACTAGAAAATTCTTTGAGCAATTTCAACCTGTCTCAAGAGTTGGTAAATAACAAGAAGTATTTATTTAAATAATTGCTGAATTGTTAAGTTCATAAAATATCTTCATGTTATACTATTTAGCTTAGTTAGCTACAAAAATAGAAACAAATTGCAAGTTTCTAGGTGCTTTGTGACAGGAGTTAGCAAGTAGGAAGAATTATTTGATCCACCCATAGTGGAATCCGGTTTAGTGAAAGTTAGGGCGGAGTACCATGCACGGAAAGAAGGTTTTACATATTGAAAGTATTTTATGTTGAAGTATTGAATGTTGAAAGTTTCAATGAAAAGTTTCAAATTAATTGAAATTTATGAAATTTTACCCTTAACCTCTAATTTTTTAAAACTATTAATTTAGAAATTATTTAGTTACGTTTCCAATTATTCCTTTTAACTTTAAAATACAAATACTATAGGGGAGAGGTACGCATGTTGAGACGGGTTCTGTTTTCCAGTTATAATTTTTAAAAAACAAAATTTAGCGAAAAATTCGAAATGCTTTCTTAAAAGTATTGTCCAGGGCTACAACATTGCCAAAGAAAGTTATTTTTTTTGGACAAAATTGAAAAATTTATAGCTGATTTTTTAAACATGTTATTTTTGACCAAAAAAAAAAGTGGTACGCACGTTGAGACACCCATAATAATTTATTTTAAATTGAAACAAAATGAATAATTACGTCAGATTCTAATTGTTTGTTGTTTATTTACTTATTTTGATGGTCTTAGCTCAAAGAAAAAAAATTAAAACATTAAAAATTAACTTAAAAAAAATAATCAAAAAATAAAATTTTATTTTGCACAAAAATAATTAATCGAAATTTTTATATTCGCAATTTTTACAGGCGAAGAACATGTAAAACGCTTAAAAATTGTGGATTCAAAATCAATTTTAATGACAGTACTATTTTCAAACCGTGAGCGTTTTAACCTGCGTACCACAGTGTGTCTCAACGTGCAGACCTTGCCGTTATTTTTTTAAAGCTTTGAAATTATTTGTAGATGTTAACGTATGTCTAAATTTTCGTCGGAACTTTAAGGTACCGTCCCATGATGGCGTGAAAGCGTCGGCGTGAAGCGTAAACCATGTGAGAGAGTGAGAACGTGATATCTGTTCATCTCTTTCTATCGCACGATTTCTGCTTTACGCCGACGCTTTAACGCCGTCATGGGACGGTACCTTTAAAGTAGAACCAAAATGAAGATAAGTAAATGTTATCCGCAATTTTTTCTGCCACTAAAAAATACAGTAAATACACTAAACAGAAATTCTAAAAAACACTTTTTTTAACTAAAAAATTGGTTCGCTCTCGTTCTACCGAAAAAAACAAGAGTTATTGCGCTTTTTTTAAATAAAAAGTTTGGTATTAATGATACGACAAAATGCCAATAAAATTTTTGGTATTATCAGTTACACAGGTTATAATATCTTAGTGTCTCAACGTGCGGACCGTCTCAACGTGCGTACCTCTCCCCTACTATTCTAAATGTTTTAATTCAAAATATTTATTTTTACAAAAATTTATTTCCTTAATTTTAATAAATTTTTTTTAAATTTTCATTATTAAACTAAGATTTTTTTAAACACATGATTGATTAAGAACAAAAAACTTGTTTTAAATCTATTTACATCTTAAAGAACATCTATTAATCATAGTAATTAAATTGCACCAATAATTACATTATTTAATATAATTTAGTCTTTTAAAAATAAGATTTCAAGGATCACATGAATGAATAGGTAAATATGTTTACCTTTACAATAAGGGTGCAGTCCCATGCTGAGAAGAAAACTGAATGCAAAGCAGAATTTCGTGAGTGCAAGAGAGATAGTCAGATATCACTATCCTTTCCACTCTCACGAAATTCTGCTTTGCATTGTGTTTTCTGCTCAACATGGGACCGTACCCTAACAAGTTTGTACTTCATCAGTTTCGCACGGTGGCGCCACGATATATTTCGCTTCACGGCATCGAAATTTAGAGTGTTGCATCATGCATTAGCTTATTTAATGTCATGCACGGCTTCTTTCCGTTTGACGTCGAAGTATAATGATGTGCACCGTCGATTATTGTCCGGTACACACCATTAGAATTCGACTGTCGATAAACCGGTTGTACTCGGAGAGGTTTTCTACAGTTCTCTCCACTGTCGAGAAAACCCATTAGACGGGTCGTCCAGGCAAATGCGAGTACTCCTAACCTCAAAGTCGTTCTGTAGAAACGCAAAAACAAGTTGGTATATAAGAGTGTGTGTTCTGACAGTTGGCTAAGCCTGAAGTCATTTAAAAAAAAAAACAACAAAACAACAACTTTTCCCGTGCTTTACACTGCAGGCCCGGTTAACTCAGAGTGCAGTCCCATGGCACCGTTTTGCGTTGCGTTTTGTAACTAGGCAATGAGTGCAAATAGAGCAAACATATATCTGTATCTCTCTCACACTCATGGTATAGTTACAAAACGCAACCCAAAACGCTGTCATGGGACTCCAGCCTCAGGGTGGAGTCCCATGGCAGCGTTTTGCGTTGCGTTTTGTAACTAGGCCATGAGTGCAAATAGAGCAAACGTATATCTCCATCCCTCTCACACGCATGGCCTAGTTACAAAACGCAACGCAAAACGCTGCCATGGGACTTCAGCCTCAGGCTGGAGTCCCATGATAGCGTTTTGTAACTAGGCCATGAGTGCGAGAGAGATACAGGTATATGTTTGCTCTATTTGCACTCATGGCCTAGTTACAAAACGCAACGCAAAACGCTACCATGGGACTCCAGCCTCATGAAAATGAAAACGGCATTTTTTAGCGCCACCTACCACCAACATAGAAACTAAATTTACCCCAGCTTGTATATCTATATCTATATATATATGTATACAGTATATCTATATCTATTGTATGTATAGATATACAAGCTGGGTAAAATTTAGTTGATATGTTGGTGGTAGGTGGAGCAAAAAATGCCGTGTTCATACAATAGCGTAATCCGTGTGGCAGCGTATTGCGTTGCGTTTTGTAACTAAGCCATATGTGTGAGAGAGATGGAGATATATGTTCGCTATATTTGCACTCATTGGCCTAGTAACAAAACGTGACGCAAAACGACGCCATGGGACTGCACCCTTAAAATCTATCGGTTTTTAAAATTTTCCAAAATTCTTGTGTATACACGTCACCCGGTAAAAAGCGAGGAATTGAAAAGAATTCAGAAGTTCATTTCTTTTGAATGGTCGATTTTCCAAAATAATCCAATTCCTCGGTGGAGCAAGGAAAAGTAGCAAAATCTATTATTCTTAATTGAAATGTCGAATGTCGAATATTCGACATTCGAACTAGGCGAAAAAATTCGAACAGTTCGGTTCAAATTATTTTGCACAGCTCTAGAATAATTTCAATCACCAAAATATGAATATTATTTATTAGTAAGATTTCCTGAGAAAAAAACCATGTTTTATTAAGCCAGTGAAAAAATATCATTTGAGACTGCTCATAGACGAAGGTTCACTGCGCACCGCCCTTTCTCTTAAAAATAAAATATTTCAATAAATAATTAAGGAATCTTTCTGTAACTTTACAGAAAACTTCTTCAAATAGTAATAAATGTCTCACTGGAAGTTTGCTCAACTCTTAACCCTTTCACGCCCATGGGACATATACGTCCCACCTACAAAATCCTCAATATCTTTGAAGAAACTTAATATTTTTGAGTTTAATTTAGTGCGTTCTCTTCAGGAAGAATAGGGCTTTAAAAATAAGTAACCTAGATCATGTTAAAAAATTCCTATTGTTTAAAAAAATTCATAAATTATTGTTAAAAATCATGAATTTTTAAAATATTTTAAAATCGCCTAAAAATTGTTACTCGGGGGTTTTCGGGGTCGCTGATTACGAATCCGGTGCTAGTTTTTCAAAATTCAAAATGGCGGATCTAATATGGCGGACGACAAATGTAAAAATTAAACGGATTAGCATGAAACTTGTTACTCGGGGGTTACTAGGGTCGCTGAATACGAATCCGGTGTTATATCTTTAAAATTCAAAATGGCGGATCCAATATGGCGGGCGTTATTTTTAAAATCGTTTAGTTTCACCAGAAACTTGTTACTCGGGTGTTTTCGGGGTCGCTGATTACGAATCCAGTGTTATATTTTTAAAATTCAAAATGGCGGATCCAAGATGGTGGACGATTTTTTTAAAACATTTTAATTTCACCTGAAACTTGTTACTCGGGGGATTTCTGAGTCGTTGATTACTAATTAGGTGTTAATTTTTAAAAATTCAAAATGGCGGATCCTACACGGCGGACGACAAATGTAAAAATTGTTTGGATTAGAGGGAAACTTGTCACTCAAGGGTTTTTATGGTCTCTTATCACGAATTTGTAGTTTATTTTAAAATTGCGATTGTGTATTTATTTATTTATTTCTGTCAGTAGATGGACTTGTTTCTTTCTACTCTCACTGGATTCGTAATCAGTGACCCCGAAAACCCCCGAGTAACAAGTTTCTGGTGAAACTATACGATTTTAAAAATAACGTCCGCTATATTGGATCCGTCATTTAAAATTTTAAAAATATAACACCGGATTCGTATTGAGCGACCCTGAAAACCCCCAAGTAACAAGTTTCTGGTAAAACTAAACGATTTAAAAAAAATCGTCCGCCATCTTGAATCCGCTATTTTGAATTTTTAAAAAATGATGTCATATTCGTAATCAGCGACCTCAAAAACCCCCGAGTAACAATTTCCAAGCCAATCCAATCAATCTGTAAAAAAGTTTCCCGCCATATTGGATACGCCATTTTGAATTTAAAAAATTTTATAATTCTGATATCAGATTCGTAATCAGCGACCCCGAAAACTATGAATAACGTTACACTTACGTTTTTTTAACCGTCCAGTTATGCCTGGGTGTGAAAGGGTTAACTTCCCCACAGACTTTTTGACGGCAAAGATAAGAAAACGTGGATTATCGACGGATCTCCATAAACAATTAAAAATTAATAAGCAATTCATTTTTTTGAATTTTTAATCATGTTTTCGCCTTCTGTGGACCCAAATGCGTTTGTATGCCAAATTACAAGTAATTTCAATAATATTTACCAAAGATACAACGAGTTATGTTTAAAAATTGAATCAATTTTGAGAATTTAAATTTGTTACTTTTGGTCATTATTTTCTAAAATATTCAATTTTAAAAAGAAAATCCCAAAGGAAAAAAAGATGCGCTTTTTAATTTCCTATAAGATACTATTTTTAAAAAATCAAAATTTCCAATTTCCAAAATTTCTACCGTTTCACTGGCGTTATAGCGTGTAGCGGCGCGACGTCCCCTTATTGTGCCCAACCATTCATTTCTGGAAATTTAATCTTTTTCTATTCCTCGCTTCTTACCGGGCATACATTTAAATATATTACTGTAAGTTTTATGCTGCTCCAACTTTACTTAATAATATAATTATAATAAAATTTGACCTTATATACGATGCTTTTCACTAATTATTCATCATTACGCCCTGGGTAATCCCGCAAGTACTTGGTGAATGTTTTTTAATTTTTTACCATTACTGTAAATGTGAATCAAAAATCTCTAATTGTCCTTTAAAAAAAATGTTTCAAGCTAAAAGCGTGACATATTTTTAAAAAATAGAATAAAAAATTAAATTTTTTAAAAATTACTATCGTTTGTTAAAATTAGTGAAATTATTTTTAATTATGATTTTTAAGGGGGAGTGACACCCCTAAAGTCTTTTTTAAACCTATTTTTCTTGAACTTTTTTAAGACACAATAATAAATTAAACAAACTTTAGTTTTAAGTACTTTATTTATTAACTTTTGAAGTTTACAAAAATGTATTTCTACTTGAAAAAGGTTTAAATTTGTTGCCTGTAGAGGGTGCCAAAGTTTGTCTGGTTTCTCTGCAGGGCAAATCAATGGGATATGAACTTTCCAATTATAAAGTCGATTTGGTCGCTAGCTCCCGGACCAGAAATAAATTAATAACCTATGGAGGAGACATGAACCCTTGACCTTACGCATATTAAACACGAATACTAATTACTACACTACTTATACGTGCAACTATAATATTGAGAATATAATGTTCATTATATACTCTACACATGTTTCATGAAAATAAATTTACTCAAATACTAATAGACAATAACAGTAATAAATAATAAACAATTGTAATACTATTTGTACACAATAAACTTACAACGCTATCATCAAAAAAGCGAACAAAAGGGGAAAAGGAGACACACTAGTAGGTTAAAAAACAAAAGAGCCACGGTTCTCATAGTTTTCAGGATCGCTGGTTACGAATTCCGTTTTTGTAAAATGAAAAATGTCAGATCCAATATGGCGGACGACAAATGCAAAAATCAATTAGATTTCCTTCAAATTTGTTACTCGGAGGTTTTGAGGATCGCTGATTTCGAATGTGGTCAGTGTTTAGAAATTTATATTTTACTCCCATTACAATAAAATATTTTTCTTAATCTTTTGTCATGATTCATCTGAGAAAAAATACTAAACCTTATTTTATCTTAGAATCAATGAGTATTCCAAGATTTTTGATTTGATGACAGATTTAAAAAATTGGTTTGAAATTTGTGACTTAAATTAAAATTTTATGTCAGATTTGCAAAATATAGAAATGGCAGATCCAAAATAGTAACTCAATATGATTTTTGCAAATATGGTGGACGAATTTTTTAAAATTCGATTTAATTTACTTGAAATTTATTACACTGGGGTTTTCAGAGTCGTTTATTACGAATTCAGTGTTGGTTGATAAAACATGAAGATATTTTATGAATTTAACAATTCAGCAACTATTTGTGGACGTCCGCATGAAAAGGAACCACTTTGTTGGTCTGTTGCAAAAGTTGTTTCTGTTTAAAAATGGAGGCGGCGGAAAAATTCAAAACCTTTTGATTTTTCATCTTAAGGGTGTACTAGACTTAAAACAACTCTCATCTGAATAACTTCCCAGAAGAACCCCATAAATTCACATTACAATTTTTAATTTCGTTTTTTTAGAAATGAAAATTTCGATATTTCCTAAGATTATTCATAATAAAGTCCTACAAAAATTTTTTTTCTGACTACTTTCTTGGTTTTTGCTTCAAATAACTCAATAAAATAACACTCAACAATTAACTTCGTAAAAAAAATCCGTTTTATATTAATTAAAAAACATATTTTTAGAAAAGGGGCCACTTTGTCGGATGTCCGTTATTTTTTCATTCTTTCAAAATGGAAGGGGAGGAAATTCGAAACCTATTAATTTTTCATCTTAATGGTGTACTAAATTTAAAAAAATTATTACATACATGAGTAACTTCCTAGAAGAACCAAAGATATTAGCATTAAATCTTTTATTTCGATTTTCTCGAAATGAGGTTTTTGACATTCTGAACTTTAAAATTCTATAACTCAGTGATTTTTGCACCTAATTGGACTTAAGACGTATAAAAATTTTCCAAATTTAACAAGGAATTTCTATTTTACACGTTTTGTTTACCTTTTTTTAAAACTTAATTTTTTATATTTATATATTATTTTCAAGAAGTCTTTCTGTTTATAAGACAACTAATTTGTTTAAGGGGTTAAACCACTCTAGAGCGTCAAAAAGAGGTTCTAATTTCAACATTTTTTTAAAAGAAAAGTTTAAAAGTAATGAAAAATATGTTTACATATCTCTATCAGGTACACTTTAAAGAAAAAAAAATATACTTTATAAATTTTTTTTGTTTAAAAACAGCAGCTGTACATGTACGTGATGGAAACCCTTTTTAAAAAGAATTCCTTCGCGGCCGGAAAGGTTTTTAGTACAATTTTCATCCTAGAGCAGAAAACAATTTTTTTTCTATTTTTACATCTCAAAAGCTGGAGAAAGACGTAGAGGATTTTTTTTAAATCCATTTTTGCAAAAATCGTGAACATTTTATGGAAAAACTGAGTTTTTGACTGAAAAAAATAGGCACTAAATTGTTTATAACTAAAAGAATATGCAACATAAAAAAAATCCCCTACGTCTTTCTCTAGCTTTTGAGATGTAAAAATAGAAAAAAATTTGTTTTCTGTTCTAGGATGAAAATTGTACAAAAAACCTTTCCGGCCGCGAAGGAATTCTTTTTACAAAGGGTTTCCATCACGTACATGTACATCTGCTGTTTTTAAACAAAAAAAAATTTATAAAGTATATTTTTTTCTCTTTAAAGTGTACCTGATAGAGATATGTAAACATATTTTTCATTACTTTTAAACTTTTCTTTAAAAAAAATGTTGAAATTAGAACCTCTTTTTGACGCTCTAGAGTGGTTTAACCCCTTAAGTAAACATGAAATTTATTGTCAATATTAGCTATTTATCTAAACTTAAAATTTCAAAATTTATTTGATTTCAGTCCGAAGGCGTCACTGTTTGACCTTTTGGGTCATGAAGACAAAGTTCTAGCATGTAATTGGTCCAATCCTAAATTAATGGTTTCTGGAGGAGCTGACAATACAGTTAGAATATTCAAGACAAAGAGTTCTAAATGATGAGGGGATAAAAAATTTTTATAATAAATTAAACTTTTATTGTGTCCAGTAAATTATAGCGTCTGATATACAAAGGTAATAAAAACATTTTTTAAACTGATATGTACAATAACATCATTTCACGTGCAGAAGTTTTCACTTATAATATATCTTTAATGTGTCACCTGACTGTACTGTTTTGAATTACAATAATATGTAAAATTATTTTACGACTTTTTTATATCATTTTGTATAAATTTGAATTCAGATAATTATTTAATAATATATATATATATATATTTTATAATTATATTTTGTAAAAGTGAGGAAAAGTTATTTTAAAAATGAAATACTGTGAAAAAAAAGTTATGAGAAGGTTAAATGGTGAGCCAATTTATGTATAATCTTGAATATAATTCAGGATAAATTACTGCCTATTTATAAAGTTCGCTTTACAAAGAGATAAATATGTACAAAGTAAGTATAATGAAATGCGAACAAATTACCTCGAATTTTACCGGCACATTCCAAGAACACTAGAGACAACTTTGCTTTCACAGGGATGATCAGGGGATGATGCAAAATCTGAAGAAGATTCCACAATGAGTCATATACACGTACAGTCGAACCTGGATAAGCGAGAGTTCAAGGGACCGGCAATTTTCTCTTGCTTATAGAAGTTTCTCACTTATCCAGTTTCTCACTTACAGAGGTCGAAGAGCGATTTCTCTCGCTTATAAAGGTTCATGAATTAATATTGTGTTTTCAAATTAATTTAATTAATGAATATACAACGAATAAGTGTTACAATGTATGAGTTAAACTGAAATATTTTATTTACTTAATTTTAAAAAAGAAAACAAAAGTTTGAATTGTTAGGACGACATCAAAATAAATTTGTTAGTTCTATATTAACAATCTTTTTGTCAACGTACAGAATATTGCCTATAGAGGTTTTTACATATAAAAATGACGGGACCAGCTAATAACTCTCGCTTATGGAGGTTTCTCGCTTATCCAGGTTCGACTGTACTTGATTGTTTAATTGATTGCGTTTAATTATTAATTTATTATTATTACTATTGGGTAAGACTCCGTCAGAAAAAAAGCGATTTGCAAGTGGTCTTCCAATTTCTTTGAAAGCTTGGGAAATAGAAGTCTTATATGAGTTAAATTAAACCCTAAAAGGATTTTGAAAAATTTTCAAAATGGCGGCCGCTACGCCATATTGAAAATGAGTGTTGCGTTTTTTTCAAAAATTAATAACTCTGAAACTTTTTGATCGATTTTAATAAAATTTACAGGCGGTATAGTTAAAAATACGTAGTTTAATTTTACATTATGACCAAAAAAAAATTTCCAAAATTTGTCAAAAAAAAAGTCAAAAAAATTTTTTGAATTAGTTTTTAGTTCAGTTGGCCTAATTTTTGAATTTTCTAATAAGTAGATATCGATTCCTTGTAATTTCACCTTTCATTTCATAAAAAAAAATTTATGGAGACTCTAATAGTTCTCGAGATATTGCGACTTTAGTGGGAGCGCGTACCGCGGAATTAAACTACGTAGCGAGGCGGAATATGAAGCGAGCGTACAAACGTGCACAATAGGGTATCCGTAACAATGCGACTTTCGAATTTTGTTTACGCCACCACCCAGTTTCGTTCCAATAAAATAAAAAAAAATTTCCTAAAATTTGAAGCCGATTGATTAATATTAACACGTGCCAGTGATCGATCGAAATTTTCAATTAAAAATACACAGGAAAACTGCACTTTTTAAAAAAATTCATAAGTTTTTTAATTCTCATGCAAAAAATTCTCCAGGTCACATTTGCCTTCATTTTTAGCTGCACTATAAGATAGCACTTTGCCAAAAATTCAATTTTCAAAAAAATTTTAAATGGCGGATGTTTAAAGTGGGTCATAAAAATGCACCACAATATATCCAAGGTTTTAACACATAAGTGTTGTCAAAAATTCAAAAAAATTTCTTACTCGGGGCTATTTTCGATCGTTTATCATGAATCTGATATCAGAAATTAATTTTTCAAAATTTTCGATCCAATATGGCGGGTTTAAAATTTTGATTTTCTACATTTTTGAAGTAAATATTCTACAACAACGTCAAGGGCGATTTTTGGATGTGCTATCTACGAATCTAATGTTAAAATTTTATTTTTTAAATTATCCGATCCAATATGTCGGATTCAAAATTATGATTTTCTACATTTTTGAAGTAAATAGTCTAAATATTAATTTATAGATTAATAGTTACAAAAAATAATTATTGGGATGTTTTAGAAACTCTTTTTTAGAAATTTAACTTTTTATACCTCTGCTTTTAAAATCGATTATTAAAGGAATATTTTAAAAAAAATTTGAATCCACCTTGCCATATTAGATCGGGTAATTTAGAAAATAAAATTTTAACATTAGATTCGTAGATAGCGCTTCCAAAAATCGCCCTTGACGTTGTTTTAGAATATTTACTTCAAAAATGTAGAAAATAAAAATTTTAAACCCGCCATATTGGATCGAAAATTTTCAAAAATTAATTTCTGATATCAGATTCATGATAAACGATCGTAAATAGCTCCGAGTGAGAAATTTTTTGAATTTTTGACAACAATTATGTGTTAAAACCTTGGATATATTGTGGTGCATTTTTATGACCCACTTTAAACATCCGCCATTTAAAAATTTTTTGAAAATTGAATTTTTGGCAAAGTGCTATCTTATAGTGCAGCTAAAAATGAAGGCAAATGTGACCTGGAGAATTTTTTGCATGAGAATTAAAAAACTTATGAATTTTTTTTAAAAAGTGCAGTTTTCCTGTGTATTTTTAATTGAAAATTTCGATCGATCACTGGCACGTGTTAATATTAATCAATCGACTTCAAATTTTGGGAAACTTTTTTTTATTTTATTGGAACGAAACTGGGGGGTGGCGTAAACAAAATTCGAAAGTCGCATTGTTACGGACACCCTATTGTGCACGTTTGTACGCTCGCTTCATATTCTGCCTCGCTACGGAGTTTAATTCCGCGGTACGCGCTCCCACTAAAATCGCAATATCTCGAGAACTATTAGAGTCTCCATAAATTTTTTTTTATGAAATGAAAGGTGAAATTACAAGGAATCGATATCTACTTATTAAAAAATTCAAAAATTAGGCCAACTGAACTAAAAACTAATTCAAAAAATTTTTTTGACTTTTTTTTTGACAAATTTTGGAAATTTTTTTTTGGTCATAATATAAAATTAAACTACGTATTTTTAACTATATCGCCTGTAAATTTTATTAAAATCGATCAAAAAGTTTCAGAGTTATTAATTTTTGAAAAAAGCGCAACACTCATTTTCAATATGGCGTAGCGGCCGCCATTTTAAAAATTTTTCAAAATCCTTTTAGGGTTAAATTTAACTCATATAAGACTTCTATTTCCCAAGCTTTCAAAGAAATCGGAAGACCACTTGCAAATCGCTTTTTTTCTGACGGAGTCTTACCCTATTAATTTTATTGATTACTTTTTTTACTCTTAACTGTGTAAGGGAGCAATTTTGATATATAATTATTATTAGTATTATTAAGGAAGAGTATTCCTGAAAGATTTTTTTAATTCTGCTTATTGTACTTATATTCTACTAACCACACGGAGAGAAAAACAAGGCTTTACCCCGTGACTTCAATTCATGACTTTTTCAGGTAGCAGTTTCACCGGATTTCCCGATGAATTTCTTGCGTTTAGCGGTTAGGCCACGCATTAGCCCCTATTGGCCTTAGCTCGTTGCAAGAATCTCACCGGGAAAACCCGTGAGCGTCCTGCATTTTTACTGTGATAATTTTCATGCTTTAAATGCATATTTTTTCATGGCGAAAAGCCTTGTTTTTTCTCTCCGTGCAATAAGTTTAAAAATTCAATACAATTAAATTATTTTGCAAAATACTTTTCATACCTCAGGCACAAAATAGGCGCTTTCAGATAGCAGACGACAGGGAGGAAAGTCATTCATTTCTTCGACCGTATGAAAATAGCGGCCGTGTTCTCCCAAGGGCAAGAAAATTAGCTATTCACATGCATTTTTCTTGCCCATGGGAGAAAAACAAAAAAAAAGGCCAAAAAAAAAAAAAAAAAAAAAAAAAAAAACGGCCGCCATTTTTATACAAGTCGAACAAGTGAATGACTTTTACTCCCTGTCGTCTGCTATCTGAAATCGCCACTTTTGTGCCTTTGGAATAAAAAATATCGTAAGTAACACGGGACTTAAAGGCTGCCTATACGTACCTTGTCGCTTAATATACTATTTTCTCTATTCTGAATACTTTTTCTACTGGGTAACAAAATTCGATTCCAAATCCATAAATGTCCAATAAAAACGGGCGAGAAATATTTTTAAAAAATGTCTTCCTTTTTAAAAAGAAATTTATTATTTTGTGAACAGAATTGTTATTGAGAAACAGTAGAAAATCCTCTTAAAAATGTACAGAAAGAGTTAACTCAAATACTATTCCGCCCGCTTACCCTACCCCTATAGGCGGGAATGTGTTACTTTGCGCCCGCTCTAAGTGCCCAAAATGACATACTTTCCGTGCAAATAGGAAAAAAATTTTTTTTTGTGAAATCCTTAACCAGAAAGTCCTCCTGATAAAGACAGAATGAACAGAATGAATACGACGATTATTATATTTATTATGACATTTCAAATAATTTCTAGAAAAATATTAACAATTTTCTGAAAATTTGATACATCAATTTTGAGAAGAATATTATGAAATTTTAGAAAAATTAATAAAATGAATTTTGTAAAAATTGTACAGTATTTTATATAATTCCCATCATTGACATCACTGACGAGTCGAAGGAACTGAAAGAAAGAAAATAAAAATATTTTAATAAACTTAATTCAGTGTTTACCAATTGCGAAATATTTTTATATTTTAAATAAAATTATAACATATTTACTTTGAGCGAATTTGATCTCCTGGTGTGTAGAACGGATTACATACAGCATTTGAATAAGCAGCATGTAGTTTTCGAAAAATCTGTAAAAAGATAAGTATTTTCACACGGTTTGCCTAATATTCTCATACATAAAAATGTTATTTTTTGATACCATTCGGACTTCATTGTCTCTCAACGTTGCATTTGATGATTTCAAAATTATCACAAATTTTATTTTAGTATTAGCTGCATACCCGTATCTGGAAACATAAAGGATTTTAAGGTATTTGTCGCGTAAATTCGTTTTCGACAGTTTTTTTTTAAATTTCACATAATTATTCTTTGGATATTTATCTACAAAATAAGGCCTATTAAAATAAAATTGACCGTCTGTAAGTCTCAAAAAATGAAATCAAAGTTTCGATTTTTAACATGTAAGGTATAGGAAAACCATATGAAAACCACAGATTTTTAATTTTTGCACTTATACTAATCGACAGATTTTTTAGAAAAACTAAAGTTTTATTTATTGAACCAAAATGAACTTTTATAAAAAAAATGAAAATTTTTCACCGTCTTGTTTAAAAGATATTTAACATCAAACTTGAAAAATTATTTTAACATTTACTGTAAATGACAGGTGAATTCGTAAACGTGGCAATAGCGCTTGTTAAATACTACAGCTCGTCTGCTACTTTTGGCGCGAAATTTTAAAGACGGCCATACGCCAAACTTGCGACGTTGCCACGATTGTTTTTCATGCAAGAAGTTATGAATATACATTGAGAACATGTGTGTGTCAAACTGTACGTCCGCAAAAGTTTTTCGGAAACTCGCATTCATTTAATCGTTTCATAAGTACAGTCAACGGATACAAACTTTTGATAGTGACCACTCGCGCGACAAATACCTTAACATAAAATGTTTTATTTTAAACTATAAGACGGGTTGGATTTTAGAGAACTTTAAAATCTGATTTCGTGAGAAATATTCTTATATTCTTCAGCGATTATGTTAGGAGGGCGATCGAGGTTTTCTAGAAACACGTAGATGTATTTTAATAAGTATTTTTTATATAAGTATTAATTGATTAATAAGTAACTTGTGGAGCGTTAATTTGGAAAGTTAGAATCCTTCATGAGAATAAAAAAGCGGTTAGGATTCTTTTTCAGATATTGTATACAAGTAAAATCTTTCGCACAGTTCGAAGTAGTCGCACCCCTGTTGCTGATAAACTTTATCAGATATAAAAGCCAAGTACTTTAAAAAGATTTTCTGTATTTTTTCTAGTTTGTCATTATAGTTTCTGAAATATGTAATCCACACAAAAGAGATGTAGTTTCTGTTAGATAGAACAAGAGATTTGTACAAAGCAATTTATTATTAAAGGTGAAAGAACACGGAGCTGTAAAGAGCATTGAAACACAGGCGAAGATTATAAGGCGCGCTGCAGTGTGCATAGTAGAGAAACTGGACTCAGTCCTCTACTTCGAAATTTTCACAATAAAGGAACGCAGGCGCGGAACCTGTCAAAATAAATGGCCGACGCGACGCGAAGCGAGTGTTTCCTTTCATTCACTTCGTCAATTTTAAATAAAAAAAAACAATAACCAATCATTAAAAAAAGAAAAATATGTTAAATGCACTCTTTATATATTCATATTCATTAATTCACAAGTTTTATTCTTCCCACATTTTCTTACTTACAATTAACAACTGAATGCATCGGAAAATCTTACAATCATACGGGATTGAACACCTACCTAACCACACAACTAAATATACGCATATAATTATAAATCGCACGCTTTTACATTAAGCCTCTCGGCTACGCAATCGATGGGGGAAATTTCCTATTTAAGAAACACTCCTTACCAATGAAATAAATTAGATCATGCGTGGATTCTACTTTGTAATTAATGTAAGTATGGATGTCAACAATATTCATAATATTGAATAAATAATATTGTCACCTAGTTTAAATTTGATATGGTTATTAGAATTTAATAATAAATAAATAAAAAACATTAATTTTTTCTTAACCTTTTTCAAGTTTGACACTCCTCATGGTAAATTTGATTATTCTTTTTTTTCCGTGTACAAAATAGTGAATTGACCTTGAATGAAATGTATAATTAATTATTCTCAAAGCAATATTTAATAATTTAATTAACTTAACTGCACTGCATAATAGTTGAGAGTAGTAAGAGTAAGTGAAATGGTAAAATAAGTAAACGATTATCATCATTAGTGTGAGAGAGAGAGAGAGAATAACTTGTGGTTTTCGAGTAGGTATCTACTTTATGTGCACGGCGTTCATTTTTCGAAAGAACTGGACTGAGTACTATTTGTTCAATTTTCGCTTCTATTATTGACTTGTGTTTTGTACACTGCCGTGTTCTTTTAACAATTACATGAGAAAGTAATTTCTCATTCCAATTTTTTATACTCTTATTCCCTCTTAGACTATATAAACAGTCTTGTTTAAGCTGATGAATGGGATAACTTGTGTTGAGTCCCAAACTGTTCAGCTATGAAACTTCTAATACTATAGTGTGTACCTGTCACATATTATTCTATAAAGGAGTAGGGGAGACTAGGTGCGGTAGTTACGCTGTGCAGTTGTTACAAATGGAATATCTCAGAAACAGTTAGTTATAGAGATGGGGTTCCAAAGAGAAAAATGTTTAGTTTTTATGTACGAACTTACTGCAATATGTTTAAAAATGATATGCAAGCTTTACAAGTAAAAAAATAGGCACATTGGTTTTTAGAGGCCAAAAGTAAATATTTTTCTGCCTGATATTTTTTAAGTAATTAATTGACCTTTATACTTAACAAAGTAAATTTTTTTATATCAATTCTATGAGGATTAGGCTTTAAAAAACTGCCTTGGTTGTCCACATTTAGTGTATACTTTTTTAATAAAGTGTTTTATTGTAAAAAATGTACCTGTTGTGCACTTGTTACAAGTGATAATGAGAACGGATATTTTTTCCAAAATTCAGCAGATTCGTTTGAAATGTAAAATATTTGTCAAAAATGTAATCACACTCATTTTTTATGAAAAATCTCATGGTTTTTATAAATTCGTCTTCAAAATTAATGAAAAAAAAACTTTTTTAATGCCTGGTTCCACCAACTCGTAGTTAAAGGTTCGATTAACTGACGGTCCGCTAAAGTTAAAGGCGCTGTTAGTTGGCTTTAACCGCCTGTGCGTTCCACCAACATGTTATAAGCCATGGTTAACTAAACGTATACTATGTTCGTAATAACATTACTTTCTTCGAAGCCATAAAAAAAGAAGAAGAAGAAGAGAAGAAGAACATTACTTTCTCTATTATGATTGGTAAATTCTAACGAAAAGTGTGCGTTTTCTAGATAGAATTTTGACTGTTTCCCTTATCCCTTTTTAAAAAATTGAAACAGTTCAAAATAAAATTTGTTACTGGACCAAACTTCTGCGTCTATTATTTTTCAAAATTACTATAAAATTCTTTAAAAATTCAATAAATTTTAATAGAATTTATAAAATTATTTTACAAACTTTCAATTACTTCTTTATCAAATTTCAATCATCTTTAATTCAATTAATAATAACAAAATTGAAATATTTTAAAAACTTAAATTTTTAGAATTTTAAGTAAAATTTTCCTAGACTTTTATTAAATAAATTACTAAATTTAAATTATTTTAATATTTACTAATTAATAAAAATTGTAATTGTAACTCTTTGTACAAGTCAATTCAATTATTTATAAATTATTAAATAAAAATTCTTTGAAAATTTGTTTTTTTTTTAATTTTTAATGAAGTTTTTTAACAAATTGTAATACACACTAAAAAAAAAGTTTTACTTTTAGCCTGTTTTCGAGGCTGAATTTAAGGTGTAAACGGAGTCAGCCCCATTACACGGAAAAAAAGTACGTGAATCCTTCCTTGAAAGTGCTTGACTTTTGGATAGGACACAAAATACAAGGCTGTATCATATACTTTTTATTAGAAAATATAGAAAAGTCCTAGAGTTATTCTAGTACTAGTATGGGCAACAGTGTTTTTTAAATTTTAACGAAAAGTCATTTGTTCAGTTTTATAAAGTTCGTGAAAGATTAGTTGACTGCGCTTGAAAATTCTGTAGAGCATGCGCAGTGTGCGTTGCGCGTTTCTACCCAAGGTAAATGCCAGCTGATCGTCTGTTTCCATTTGTGTTAATTTCAGATGTGAATATACTATTATTTTATGAAAAACAAATAGTGTTAATATATATTTGTCTTCAAGAATTGACTTTCAAAAAAATATTTTTTATTTTGTGTTTCTCACAAAACAGAATGTTATGTAAGTATCAGTTTTCAGTGAAATAGCATGTCTCAGAAGTCGTGAAAAATTTCACCATGTGGTATATAAGAACAATTCGATACGTACTTTTAAGTGTTAACACTTCAAGTGTTTATATTTAAGTTATACGCGAATATATGTGTGTGTCATAGGTTAGTTCATAAGTGTTGACGAACGTCGAAAAGTGATACAATAATTGTTCTTTGTTTGTGTAATTAATTATCCAAATATGTGAATAAATTTCAGAAAAACTGTGTGAACAAGTGGAAATTATTTTTTTTATTTTACAATTTTTTTTAAAGTCAATGAAATTCTCAAGCAAGGTACTAGAAATTTTCATTGACTGCTTTTGAAGCTCTCATGCAAAAGTACTAGACTGTTTTTAGTATTTTGTGTCGTATCCAAAAGTCAAGTACCGAGTCAATGAAAATTTCACGTACTTTTTTTCCGTGTAAACAAGGACAGACTTATGTGAAATACATGGGCTGAATTTAAGGTGTAAACGGAGTCAGACTTTTTTTTCCTGTGTATTTTTAAGACAGTTTCACAAAACTTCAATTAATTAAATAATTTTTTAATAAAATTGTTTAAAAATTCAATTATCTTTAAACAATTTAATTAAAATTTACAATTTTTTCAGAATTTTATATAAAATTATTTAATACTTGAATAAGTTTTAAAATAAGTATTGAATCATCAAATTGGGAAGCTATCAATTTTGCTGTATACAGGAAAAGTGCACATGAAAAAACTGCACACATGAAAATTTAAAAAATAAAATCATTGAATTAAATAACTGACAAATTTAAACTGACCACGAGAAAACCGCACACTATTAGAAATTACAAATTTTAATGAAGAATTAAAATTATTTTCAACTGTATACAAGGGTATCCGGACAAGAAGTCCAAAACAAAAAGTCCAA